GTCAATAATAAAAAACAAAGGAGACCCAGAGAAAAACTATATTAAAAATTTCACATAGCCATTCCATACAGAAATTTTATTTTATTAGTAATGGACAAACAAACAGATGCAACCTAATATTGTATTTTTTACAAAAATCGACAGACAGACATGGCAAAGGTGAATTCTCTTAAATTATCACTATATCGTACATGTAAGAACAATAAATGTAAATTTGTTTCACATCAATTATACAGAGCGTTTATGTACCTGTTTATATACCTTATGGCAAATAAGTACGTTTGATAAAAACAATCTTATGTCATTATAACGGCATGATTTTAACAGTCATAGTCATCAAAGCATTTATTTATTTTTGAAGCATTAATTATTTAGATTCTCAGCTTAGGGAATAATTATCTCATTTCTGTCTTCCTTATTAAAAGAAAATAAACAAAATATGTACAATTTAAATATATATTTATATATTTGTGTATGTTTATTCATTCTTATAGTGTGACCTATTGTTATATATATAATTTTAATGTCTCCTTTACCTTATTTTTTCTTTTCTCGTACACGTATCTATGATCTAGTGATCAAATTATCCATTAATTATTAATTATTATTATATAATATAACATTTTCTAGGTTTGTTTGAAGAAATCTCTTTTTAAAGAGGAGTTCGCCCTTGTACATTACTGTTACCTTATTGCTATTATTTGTTCCTATGTGTTCCGGGTGTGTAAAATAAAGAACAATAAAAAATATTGTTAAACTGCTACTTCTGTTCAACTACATACATATATCTGCTGTTTCTAACATTAATTATATCACATGTACCTATTTACCTACCAGGACACCGTTTGTATACCTATAAAATATCATTAAATTATAAATTAATTTAAAAAATTAAAACAAATGAGAAAACAATATTAAGATTTATTAGTTACTTAGTAACTACTACTAAAAATCATATCGCAAAATTCCGCATAGCCTAGTGTACAAATATTGGCTCTCATGCAATTCAATTTCTTTATTTCAACAAGGAAAGCGAACATAGAACGAGAGTATGGCCGGAGTCAATTTAGAAAATGTAAATCTGCAGAGTTCTAATAGTTCGTATGTTGAATAATATATTATTATTTATAGTGATGATTGGGTTATGTAATCCCAGTGCGCTGCGCTTGCTGCAGATGGTGTATCTTGTTACCCGCCTATACGTATTATGTTTTGTTATGTTAGTAAGTAGATACATGTAAGTACGAGTAGGTACTTTCTGCACACTAGGTTAGTATAGTATATGTATTTAGTAATATAAATACATATACTATATGTATTTAGGTATATAAAAATCTATGGCATGACATTTGTGTATTGTATTTCTTTGAGTGTGTTTGTTATCGAATCATTTGCTGTAGTGAGTGTATTTGACATAAAACTATAGAATAAACAAAAACGTAATAGTCCAAAATTTTATACAAATTAAATGGTTCGAATTAAGAAAAAAATATTATAGGAGACGTGTGGCCAACTCAACTTGACCAATTTATATGAATTTTTTGTATATTTTTGAATAGACCGTAGGATTATACCGGAGTCACATCTCAACTCTTTCGTATTTATTTCAGATTTTGAATACTGCATAAGTATTCACTATAAACATGATTTAGTAATTTTGTACTGGAAAATAAATATACAGAAATATGCGAATGTAAATATACATATAGCTAAATACGCACAAAGGTTATTATTAGGTTAACTTAGTTTTTTTCTTACCACGATGGTGGCAAAGAAAAGTATAAGGAATTCGCTAGTAAACGGTTATCATTATACCTCGGTAATTAACAAGAAGGTATGTAAAATAATAATTTTAAAATACATTTTACGTGTCTTCTTCTATGACTAACGAATTGGTGCACTAATACAAAGAAATTTGATGCCCACAAAAATTAAAAACCTTTTGCGTTCGAAATGTAATAGAGAATGCAAACGTTGGCAGTTTACGGGATGCTCACTTTGACTCTCTAATTTCCTGTAAAATTCAATAATATAGACGGAAGAGATACTTTTATTAGAAGCATAAAATTACACATAATAAAAATGTTACTGATCATTGTCTATGTATAGAAGATAGGTAAATGAGAAAAACTATATATATGGGGATTTTGTTAACATAATGAAATCCAAATCCATCCAATCCATGGCTCTTTATCATTGCGGAGATCCGCAGAAGAACCAGAGTGGCCGACATAGCCCGAAGAATTGCAAAACTGAAGTGGTGATGGGCAGGGCATATAACTCCTCGTAGGACAGATGGCCGTTGGGGCAGTAAAGTCCTCGAGTGACGACCACGGACCGGAAGACGCACGCAGCGTGGAAAGGCCTTCAGCAAGGTGGACCGACTATCTGGTCAAGATCGCTAGAAGGCATTGGATGCGAGAACCGCAGGACTGATCATCGTAGAGATCTTTGGGAGAGGCCTTTGTTCAGCAGTGGACGTCTTCCGGGCTGAGATGATGATGATGATCATTGTGTTTGTGGGCGCTAATCTCAGAAATGGCTTAACAAAATACAGTGCGGTTTTCACTAACATATTTGTAATAACCTTCACTTTAACTTTTATTTTAATCTATGTCGAAAATCGTTTTAGAGGTATATTATTGCGGGCTCGCTAAGACAACATTCATTGCAGAGTATCAACCTACTAAAGAATAAACTACCAACTTTCTATACCCAACTACTACTTTGTTTATTTTCTCTTTCATAATATTAATAGCAAAAAGACTTACAAAAGTTACTTTAATTTATTATTACCATGATAAATTACTTGGTGATTTATTGCAATACAGATATCTTGCGTTTTCGAGACCCTCGAGAATAGCTATACTGTTCATATCTTATTTCTTATTTTACGGTACCTACGTGTAATTTGACTTTCCAGAAAACTATAGAGTAGCTAAAGCCGGAGCATACCTACACTGGTACAGCTACAAGGCGTGGTTTACGACCTGCAGCCGCGAAGGAATCTCCGATGCGGATTGCGCAGAACCTATTCACCCCCAACGGTGATAAATATAAACAAAAGGATGGATAAAATATTTTCCTCTAATATATTTCGATCCTAAAAACCATATATCTAGAAATTACAAGGCATGACATCTTAGTCCTCCGAAATGGCAACATATAGGGTGCCCCGTTTACGTTACCTTATAATGTGATGGCCGTAGCGCTGTCCTTCTACATAGGTGAGAGTTACCATTTACCATCAGATAGGCTATCAGACGTCAGCTTTTTGCCATTGTAGCTATATAAATAAAAGCAAAAGTACTGTTTTATAATAGTTCTACCTTAAATGGATACCAAGAGGTACAGAATTAACATCTACCTGTGTTCCCGTAAATTATTCACACAATACGACGTTAGCAATCTGCGTCACATTAGCATTAGTAAGTTACGGTCGATTTGATTAACATGCTTGAATCTTGAATACCGAAATCCCGAACCCTTTGAATACCTACCTACGTGCAGTAGGAAACGACAATACGTTCTATACGAATTAACTTATACTTATGGCGAATATCTTGTATGTATTGAGTTATACTTATGACGGGTATCAGGAAGCTTAAATAATTCATGCTCAAGATCTGATTAAAAAATGTTGGCCGATTGATTATTATGGAAAAACAAAAGTCCAATCTTATTTGTTTGCACTACCTGATTCCTATTGTCGCATTTCAGCTACATAATCATAACACCATATCGTAATGACATTGCAATGCTATCAAATTTACGTATGTATTGCAACGAAATGCAAAAAGTCAGAAAGACATATGTATGTGATATTATATATGTATATTTGTATATATAATATATTCAATCCGTTTTTGGCTGAAAAAGTAAGAAACAACACACAGTTTCGCATTGATGATATAAAAAAAGGATAAAATCTTGTAATAAGATTTATAATCCTGTATTATATATACAAAAAATATTTTGTTGTAATAATACTTTTGTGCATAACATTAGTGTGAAGTCCACCAAGTTTACTTTTATTTTATATTGCGTGCATTATGCATGCGTGCATTAAATACCTAATGTAATAATAATATCGATTAGGTACTTTGGATATTTCAATGTGAGGAACTTAACGAGAACTAAACGGTGTATTTAAAAAAAAACATCTACATGTATCCACTACTGTCCGAGGAACAAAAGGAGGGTATTCCCAATTGAACGGATTGTGTGTTTGTACATTCGTTACGTGACTGGATAAATATGTATTTTCGCGATAATTCAACGGCGTTACAGCTTTGGTTTCATATATTTTTAAACAAAATTGGAAGTCGATTTTATTTTTGTTTCTGTTGAAAAAATGTACTTGTGTTTTCGTATTTGCATTACGCCTTTATTTCTGCGTCTTTAAGTGTTATGAATTCTTTAGAAGTCACTATAAAAACACACAGAGAGTTGTAAACTCGAAGAAGGTCCATTTGTATTCATTCTATTGCCTACGCAACGTAACCCGCGTACCTCAGTATTCTATAGTTTGCTCAACTAATTTGACTAACCATTCCGTTTACCCCCATTAATAATACCATGTTATTTATTGGCAATCCATGGTTTTGTAACGTACTATATATCAATTATATTATAAATTGAACTCATGAACCCCTATTAAGCTATATCATACATTAAATAATAGTTCGTAATACATTATCCTCGAAATCAGTATGTTTGCTTTAATCCAAGCTAAGTACGTCTGTACAGGTGGAGATTCTGTGGGCTGCATTAACATTATGCGTACTGCAACATGCATACATAAATACAGTGTTCGGAAACAGTGGGGATATTGCCGACTGAATAGCGAGAAGAGATGTTTACTTGGATTCAAATATTCGAAATTGTTTTGCTCAGTGCCGCGACCGGGCTCCGGAGAACAATGGCCGACAACATCACCTCTTGCGAAGAATTTGAGCGCGGTGCACGCTTCAACCCCTACGACGTCATTGATAGTATGTGGAAAATATTCTACTTTTGGGCAGAGAACACTGAAATATATCCAATTATATTTTCATTGCCTGCAAAGAAGGTAAGGTATTTAATGAACATAAACATAACATTATATTTAAAAAGTTATATGAATATATTTAGATTTTGGTTTCACAAGAAATTGATATAGAACCAGTACAAAAATCTAGAAATTGTTCTTTGCTAATTTGACATTTTGAATTTAACAATACTAATTATTATTGTCATGTATATATAAACACCTCTTTGGGCACTTTGTTGATCACGCCACAACCTACACACTTGCTGATTCCACCTTTTGCACTGAATAACTTGACTCCTATCGCGTATATCTCAGGCGGTATGGCAACGTCGCATTCTATTTTGCGATGTGGCCATATATATTCGTCGATAGTACGATATACTCGACACATTTTTTACTAATAATTCGTGCATGACTGGCTCCGAACGGCTAAATTTTTGGTATACACAAAGACTTTTTGGCTCTGAATATATTTCAAAAATCAATTAATTATGTTGATCACTTTATATACTCGTCCTTACTGCGATACTTATTTCATCCGAATATATATAGATACCGTAACGGTCTATCAATTATGAATTTATTCATTTACTAATCTAGATATTTTATATTATCAATGCTCCATACATAGTAACTCCACCGTTGCAGGGGGGTGCACCGTACACCGCACCCCGCGCACACAAACAAATTAGATATTTTTTGAATACACAAAGACTTTTTGGCTCTGTATATATATTTCAAAGATCAATTAATTGTGTTGATCACTTTATATACTGGTCCTTACTGCGATACTTATTTTAATCCGAATATATATAGATACCGTAACGGTCTATCAATTATGAATTTACTAATCTAGATATTTTATATTCGCAATTCTCCATACATGCAAGCTCCAGCAACGGTGGAGGCAGGGGGGAGCACCGTACACCGCACCCCGCGCACACAAACAAATTAGAATAAATTAAATTCATAAGAATATTCATATATTTCGACTGCCTCGGTGGTCACACCGCTTTACATCCGATGGTCGCGGTGCAAACATTTGTACTCATCGGTCATCGATTGTTTTCATCGGTCTGGGTGTTTTATATGTATTTACAAAATAAAAATATCTATTTATATCAGTTCAGTATCAATCTGTGTTAATTGTCCAGGGCTATTTATTATATTTTTATAAACGGTTATCTTTTTCCATCGCACTGCTCGCTATCGACAGTGAATTCATAGAAATGTCACTCTAAAAACAAAAATAGTTTTGTGTTTTGTATTTCAAATACTAAATGCAAAATAGGTATTTTCAAAATACTTTTTCAAAATAAAGTACCTTTGGAATTTTTGTCCAAACCACAGATATTTTAGGTATATCAATCATTACATAGTGTAGTATAAAACAAAGTCGCTGTCGCATCTAACAGTACATAAATAAAGAAAGAAGACTTTTTGGCTCTGATACCGTAACGGTCTATCAATTATGAACTAAATAGTTGAATAAAACTGAATAAGCAGTTGCTCCACTCTATAGGTACTGCGTCGTCGTCGTATGCTGTTCATTTTTTCACTCGTTTTGGCGCCAAGAGAGGGTCACATAGTCGTGGTCAAGTTAAGAACTTATAATTTAATTTTGATAACAATAGATACAAGTAAAAAGTAGGTATTATATTAATGTACGTAAGTACTGTACTTAAAAATATTTATTCTTTATTGTACATTTGAAAAACTTAACACTTAACACTAGTACACGTACATACTGCCATTTTCTCTTAAAGACGTCCAGAGAAGCACTATTTATCAAATACGCGGGGTGCACCGACCTTTGACCTTATAACAGCCGATTCGCGCGTAACGAATTACATTGCTACTTTTTAGTATTTTATAGTGGATATTTCACTATAAAATATTATTATTTCTTTAGATTATGACATAATAACATAGTTTACATGATTTTAAGGGAAACATACGATAAAAAAAATTCCCGTAAAATGTAAAAGATAAAAAATGGTTATTGTTGGTTATCCTTAAGAGATAGACATATACCATCGCGGACTTTTTTGTTGACCTTATATTGATACATCTCAAAGCACTAGACAATACGCATTTTCATTAAACAGTAGTGTATTTTTATTTATTTATTTAACTTTAATGCACAAAAAAATTTGTACACGTGGCGGACTCAATATCTTGCCTCGTTAATTACTAGGCAACTATGAGTGGTGCAGAGAAAGATTATTGGTGGCGCACTAATATAAATAAGAAATGTCAAAAAAAGATATATAAATACAAAGCAAAATATAAATTTTTATAAAAAAGTAACAATATACATACATAAATATATATGTAAATATAACCCATAAATGTATAAATATTCTATATAAATAAATACATAATGATCCGATAATCAAATTATAAGTACAGTCTCAAATTGAAAGTAAGAAAAACAGAAAATATAGAGAGAACTATAGGGATATAACAGAAAGATGTGAAAAAAGGAGAAGGACAGTAAAAAGGTTACAAATTTAAATAATGTTGCCGCAATTTCTGTTTAAATAGATTTTATTACATTATTATATATATTAGGCATACAACTAGCCTTATGACTGTTACTTTTTTTAAATCTATACATCTATACATGTAAATAAAATTGGAGTGTCTGTTTGTAATATTGAAATAACCGTTTTTTACTACTTGCATATAAATATAAATACGGTACATACACCAAAATAACATATTTTACAAGTTTTGTCTGTCTGTCTGTCTGTTTGTTCCGGCTAATCTCTGAAATAGCTGGACCGATTTTGACGGGACTTTTTTTGGCAAGTAGCTGATGTAATAAGGAGTAACTTACGCTACTGTTATTTTAGAAAAATAAAATAAAATTTCACGCGGACGAAGTCGCTGGGGCCAACTAGTCTATAGATATACCGAGATTTATTTTGTAATGTTACTATTACGTTATCCTACACAATTTGTATTATTTTGGATGAATAAATAAATAAATAAATAATAATCTATACATATAAATAAAATTGGAGTGTCTGTTTGTAATATTGAAATAACCGTTTTTTACTACTTGCATATGAGTATATATAAGGTACATACACCAAAATAACAATTTTTATAATTTTTGTCTGTCTGTCTGTCGGTCTGTTTGTTCCGGCTAATCTCTGAAATGGCTGGACCGATTTTGACGGTACTTTTTTTTGGCAGGTAGCTGATTTATAAGGAGTAACTTAGGCTACTTTTATTTTAGAAAAATAAAGTTAAATTCCACGCGGACGAAGTCGCGGGAACAGCTTGTTTTTAATAAAAACGGTTTATTTGATAGAAAAAACATCTTTTTTGTGGTACTTGAGAATGTTGAAGCCTGTTGTTTGTAATATTGAAATAACCGTTTTTTACTACTTGCATATGAATACGGTACATACACCAAAATAACATATTTTACAATTTTTGTCTGTCTGTTTGTTTGTTCCGGCTAATCTCTGAAATGTCTGGACCGATTTTGACGGGACTTGTTTTGGCAGGTAGCTGATGTAATAAGGAGTAACTTAGGCTACTTTTATTTTAGAAAAATAAAGTTAAAAACCACGTGGACGAAGTCGCGGGAACAGCTAGTGTATAATATATTAGAGATACCTACGTGTTTTTTTATTGATGATTAGCTGTACACGGGATTTCGTCCGTGTGGAATTTCACTTTATTTTTCTAAAATATAAGAAGTTAAATTCCACGCGGACGAAATCGCGTGTACAGCTAGTTGTCGGTAGTCTAGCGATTTATCTAGCACACCGCTTTGATTCCTGCTTGGTGGTCGAGGGTTCGATTCCTCGCACGCTGCAAACATTTGTATTCATGAGTATTATTATTTGTAACGGTCTGGGTGTTTTCTATGTATAGATAATATATATGTATTTACGAAAAAAATCTTTGTATTTATATCAGTTGTCTAGTACCCATAACATAATCTTCAGCTAGCTTAACTTGGGTCTAGATGAAGCTGTGTGAATTGTCCTGAGATTACTATTATTACTATAATAAATCTTTTCAAATCAGCCGATGTTTATTTTTGCCATAATACGTGCTGTTACCATGTGATAATATTACGTACGTACTTATTACTGTTTTAAATGTAATGCGTTCATTATTTATATTTCCTTTTAATTAAAGACAAATGTATATATATATATATATACACTTGCACACTTAGTTGATCCAGCCACGATCCGTAGATATTGCTGATTCCACTGTCTCTCTCTTTCTACCACTATAACGGTAGCGTGGCGGAACGGCAACATGTTGCCGTTCCGCGTTCTACCACTATCTTTGTATTCTAATATGCGATGTTGCCGTTCCGACCGAGACCACGCGTTGTTGCCAAATGTATTCGTCAATAGTAGTAGATACCTATACTCGATATATATTTTTTCAACAATTTACTGCAATAGTGAATCCGTATCGGCAAAATTTTTTAAATGCACAAAGATTTTTTGGCTCTGAATATATTTAAAAATCATTTACTTGTGTGTTGATGAATTTATATACTAGTACATGAAGTACCTAATACTTGTTTTGATTTGAATAGGTAGCGATATTATGAATTTATTATACGTAATCTAAAGATTTTGACGAAATAAAAGTAATTAGTTATCTGTTAACCTTGACTTCATGTTGGCACCAGTATTATTAGATTCTGATAATACTCTTCGAAAACTTACAGCAGAAATATCGTGTTTGGACTCATTAGATAGGTCTCGATGAATAGAGTTTAAAAAACTTAAAATAAATGGTAAATTAGAAATAATGTATAAATACCCCTTACGTAAAATTCAACCACTTTAAAACTTAATAATAATAATTAGGAAAAGAGCAAAGCTATAAATGCACTGAAAGTAATTGATGCCTTCCACACAATATTTTCAGTATTAAACAACTCTGTTTGTTCAGTAAAAGTGTAAATACACTGGTAACCTTTAATCATATTTTATATGCAAACATTACATATACAAACCCTGAAGTTTTATTTCAGAATGGCCAGTAGTTTT